CGAGTTCTGTCGAAAAGTATCAGGGCTCAAAGCGATTAGACCAATGGTTTCCGAGATATACTCTAAAAATTGTTGATCTTCTGACAAATGTCGCTGTATCTTGCAAACCGTTAGTCCAAACGCTTTTTCACCTTACAGTTTTCGGTAGAACTCGTCGAGAACTATAAGAAACGCTACTCAGAACTACTCGGTACTCTCAAAAAAATTTTCAAAGATTTCCACTATTTTTTTTAAACTTTATTATATTTCAAAAATGTTTTTTATGTATCAAGAACTCTAGGCATTCACAAAATAGTTCTGTTAAGCTGATCAGAACTATGCGACCTTGAATTTCGTTAAAAAGTTAGCACCCCATTTTTAAAAAATTATTAAAAAATGATTATTAAGCACATATGTCATTAAAAATCATAGAGAACTTTTCGTATCGTCAAAAAGAAGTAGGAATTATCATCAGAACTATTGTATCTAAAAATTAATTTTCCAAAAATTTTTAATTTTTTTTTTATTATTCGAAATTTTTTTTTACATATCATGAACTCTAGGCAATCGCAAATTGAAGCTATTAAGCCGCTCAGAACTATTCCACCTCGAAATTCGATAAAAGTTAGGACCCCATTTTTAAAAAATGTAAAAAAATGTTTATTGAGCGGAATTCTTGTTATTAACTGTAGAGAACTCTTCGTCCCGTCAAAAGGAAGTGGAAACTCTAGTCAAAACTCCTGAGTACTATAGTTGGGGTGCTAACTTAACATACCCCAGTCTTTTACGTTTTAATCCCTTTAGACTATTATAATGTACACAAATTTGAAGACATTGTCCGTTATTTGATGAGATCAGTGGCATATAATAATGTATATGTTGAAAAACTTAATTGTTTAGTATGAATTACTTATTAAAGTGTCTTGAATTAAATAAAAAAAAAAATATTTCTACCATTCCAATAAAATTAGGTCTAAAGGGGTTAAAAATATTTATGCATACCTAGAAAAAAAACGGAAAAATGGTTGAAATAAATATCTGGAAAGTCTTCATATAATCATCGGGAGATATTGGGTTTCGAAAGCCGCAGACTATTAGAGACTTTTATCTCATCCAATTAATCGCCGATAATTAGCGGCTTATTTCGATCTTCGGATGACTGGATAATAACGAGAGCCTAATAAGTCCACAACGTATGACGTGTACACGGACCATAAATGTACGCGCGGATCATCCCACTCTGGTCATTATTACCAGCTCTTTTCTCCAAATTGCCCGCTCGTCGTCGCGGTACAGTGCGCATCCAGACAGAGGCATACTCAACGCCGCGCGTCGAATGTGCGTGCGTGTTGTTCACGCACACACGCAACCCACCTGTCCCCAGCTCGCACGTACATTCTCATGTACGCGAGTGTACACCTGCCACCACAACGACGCGCTGCAATTCCATGCGGGCGCACCCTTGGCTCTCCGGGAAGACCCTACATCGAGGAGGCGACCCTCTTCTTCTTCTCTTCTTCCTTCACGGGGCCACCGCCTGCGGACCCACCTTTCTCGTTCAGTATCGGGGAACACCTTGTCGAGCGCGCCGCGCTGAGCTATCAAGTTTCGAAGTCGTTTATTTCAAAAAGAAGCACCCGGATTTTCGGCTTTCCGTGGATGGAGGGTCGGGGATCGATCGCCTGATTTTCCGGAAGAAGTCGTGATGGAAAAGTGATCGTTGTAATTAAACCACGTATTTGAAATTTAAATAAGAACAATACGGAGCAGTGAACTAAATAACGCGATGTCAGTGTACAAAATACGACAATTAATGTATTGATCTATTCGAATACGAATGTTTCAGTTCACGTTGAATCGTAACCCAGTGAATAAAAGTTTACAGAAATTTAGAATGCATGCAGTTGCAAGTCATGCTTTGATAATATTTCTTGAAAAACTTGTCCTCCAACAAAGAAAATGTAACTTATCCTCATATGTCAGTCTTTATCAAAACAAGATTGTTCACAAAATGGATAAATTTCTGTAATATTAAAGAAAAGTCTATGATTACAAACAGAGTCCCAGAATAAAAAGCTGTTATATTTAAAAGTGGCCTACGAGATGAGATAAAACGGTACAAATGTATAAACTGGAAAAAGAAATACGGACGGAAAAAGAATCATACAAGTATTATTATTATTGTGATAAAAATTTGCATATCTGAATAATCATATAATATATTTTTTTTTATGCAAGGAGGTTTGATAATTTTAGATAATTTAGCAAGGAGATCATTGATGATTACGTGATCGATCCCCTGATCCTGCGCTTTATCATGATAATGTAATTTCTCGGTGTAAATTTTTTTTTATCAGTTTGATCGACAATTTAGTGAATACTCAAGCAAACATATACAGGGCAATGCCGATGAGTGTTCAATCAGGAAACGCGTACAACAGTGGGGATGCCTGTGAATGATGGCGATTGTCAACAATGCGCGTATTATCCGACGGTACAATGGTCGCGAATCGCTGTTTAATGAATCTGCATGCGATTGCGTAATGAGGAAAGAAAGGGCGCGTTGGGTGAACTCGTCGTGACAAATCACGCGATGAAAGTAAATTCAGCGCGGACACGTTGGTTCAACGATAATTAACGAAGCTCGATCGAGGTGACGATAGAGGTGACAAATTGTAAAATTAATGATCTTCCGTGAAGATGAAGCTTTTCGATTGTATTCAGTGTCTAAAGACGCTGAATCAACGACACTCGTCGCGACAACGGCATTGCGAGACGACGGATCCACTGGTGATGACAAAACGGCCACCCACGCGTCGTCAACGTTATCAACCTCATCATCGTCACTTTGAAGGTCCGCGGAAGGTGACTTCGTCGCGATCCAATGCCCGATTTCTAACCGCGATACGTAGCTTCAGCGCTTCGTGGAAACGACGAGGACTCGCGAGGACTATAAGAAGGAAATCACGAAAGCTCACCAACGATGAGATCAAGTCGAAGAGCGTGGGAATTCCCAAGACGGCTAATGGAGTCCACCAGAAGAGGAAGAGGAAGATCCCCGCGAAAAGCGTGGAAACGTCGAAAGGCAACGACAACGGACGATGGGAGGAAGTCAACGTCGGCGGAAGAAGGGCCGGGGAGCTCGAGCGTGAATATTATGAGCACCTGGAAGCGCTGAAGTTCCTCATCGACCCGCCGCCGTGCTTCCGTAACACGGAGACCCGGCAGAACTTCGAAAACAAGTTGAACAGCCTTGATTTCAGGCGGATGAACACCGTGGCGATTCCTGCGGGACCCGAAACTAACGGATATCAGGCTCTAGAAAGTCCCAGCGGGTTCCAGAGCTTGAAAATCCATGAAAAT